GCTTTACAGATAGACTGAGAGCTCCAGATTCCAATCTACCTGTATAATTAAATTCAGAGGGATTTTTGAATTGAGTTCATATCGAATCTCAGTGGGAGAATAATATACAGTGTAAGCGAAAGAATATCAATGGTAAGGTTGGGTTGGTGTCTTAGGTTAGTGAAATGCAATGGCAGGTTCTGAAATCTTGTTTTTCAGTTGCTCTTTACATGAGTCACCTTTGAAAATCAAGTTTAAGAAAAACACAGATAGGTAGGCAAACAGTGGTAGGTAGCTTGCCTATTTTCTTCCTGTCTTGCTAATGGACTCGGAGAGCAGTCGGAAAGAGGGGTGAGAAACAGGATTTCAGCACGTGTCTCTGGGAATGTGGAAATTCAAAATTTGTGAAGCGTCACCAGTTTGTTGAGATTGTCACCGTCCGTTGCCTCAAGAGGATTTAGACGCTTCTGCTTCAGCGATACATTGTTGACCTATCAATATCTGCTTATTTTGATCATATCTTGAAGGAGGAATTCCCATAAGTATATCCCGATTCTTTATTTGTTTCACTACAATAATGGCAGACATACAATCTTTACAACAGCATGGAGTGAAGGTGCGGTGCTTAACTGGATTAGCACTCCTACACTTTCAATGCCTATATCTACCTATTGTAAGATCATTAGAAGCTCAATAAACAATATGATGAATTTCTGCGCCTGCCACAATTATATTTAACATCACTAAAATTACCTATGGCAACTTTTCTGAACTCAGAATATAAGCTCGAGCATGATTTGGAGGGTTGTTGAGATTAGGTATTCATTCAATTTTAAAGATGAACGTAAAATGATTAAACATCTACTGTCATTTTTCCAACTGTTGCTCAGAAAGTCAGTAAAGGCTTTTCTAGTGAAGATGAAGCCTCCGCTTGTATATTGTGGAAAAATTGAACATACACAGGATAAAAGAGTAATACCTAATAATTTATTGAATCAATTCATAGTGGAAAAATGAAGTATAGCTTGTGAAAATGGCGCCAACATGAAATTCAAGTTCAATCGAAAATATGCGCATAAACAGCGCCAAAATCGGAAAGTTTGATTTCCCGCGAAAGTCGGGTTACAGCGCCCGCATAAACCCGACGGAGGAAACTTGCATTACAAACTCGGGTTTCGTGAAACCCCGGTTTCGAGCCTCGCATAAACGTAGCTAATAGTTAGAGTACCTATATTGAGAGAGTATGGCCACTGGAGTTACCACCTCTGATTGGCTTAGCCATCTTAGGCTGAATGGAGCCCTTAGGACCCAAAAATGGCGGACGCCATAAAGTTAATGTAATGCAAAATGATTCAAAATGTAGTTGTCTTTGCTTATCGTAACGAGAACTTAACCCAAATGCACTATTGCTACTTTTTTACATATTTTTAAGGCTAATCGTGTGCAATTTTCGAGAAAAATGATCTTAGATGTAGTAAGGTTGGCAGCAAGCGCGGTTGGTGATAACCGTCAAAAGTTGGCAATGACCCCCCTCCCATCCTCAAAAACCAAAACAAAGCACCGCCATTTTTGGGTCCTAAGCCTCTCCATAGGACCCAGTGGCCATACTCTCTCTTAATGTAGGTACTCTAACAATAGTATTAGTAAATCGTTCTGGATAATGGAAATTCATAGGTTGGCTGCATTTCTGGGCCCTAACTTTATTCGCAGAAGCATCGGTGAAGGCTTGATGGATTTTCGGAGTTTCACATCTGTCCATACTCTCGCTATACAGGTACTCTAATGTATATTACTCCTGGAGACTATTCAGATAGGGATTTAATTTCTGACTTATACAAAGTGTGAACCAACCAGCATTTTTTAACACGGTGGCTTATGGAGAAATCAACGACTGCTTGTGTTTTTTCGAGTTTTTTAAATTCCATCTATTACAGCGCTCGATAGAGGCGCAGACGGCAATAAAGAAAAGAAAAACCTTAAAACCGACAGACTAGCAACAATATAGAGTCAAGAGTATGATTAGATGTATCACGTAATATTGAAGGCGTCAGATGTACACGTAAAATACTGGCCTCGTCAGAGTGTTATAAATACAAAAATCAACTTAATATCGCATTTTTCGGGCCAATATGGTCAGTTAAGCGGGCAAAGCTCTTTAACGACTCATCAAAACCCTGTAACACCATATATGAATCGACGCGTTTTGAATTCCGATTCAAACTTTTGTTAGTCTCAACTTTCAAAAGTTTCTCTGTAAAAAGTTATTTGCTTTGCAAGATTTTGAAATATCGGGAGCATCGATGTATCGATCAATCGAAATCTTCTAACTTGATCTCTCATGAAATATCGATCAATTGATAGTAATCGATTTCAATTCGACCGATGACTGGTTCCATGCCGGTCCGTCGTCGTTCCTTTTAGTTGTTTCGTTTCTCGTTCGTTTTGTTCAAAACAATAACAAAAAGTCGCGACAGATAAAAGATAAATGCCGATGTAAGCTTGCTTCGAAGTGATTATGGATGCTTTTAAAATTTATTAACGAGGTCAACTGAATAATCTGCTGCAGACGGACCAAATTACCCTAAATAATGAACCAAAGAGAAACAAAGTAGAATACCTCTCATGAAAACATCAAGGTAAGTTGTAAACAAATATCTTAGAAGAACTCTTATTTATTTCATCAGTTACTCTTATCTCGCTAGGTACTTACCAAGTATTTATCCCGAAATTAATTTAAAGATCATTGCCATGTGATATTGTCTATTGGGTACCTTCGAAGTTCCTGGTTTGCAAAGATACCTACAGCTTCGGCGGTAAATGTCGATCGGAAGATTATAGCCAACTGTATTCAGCCCAATGTATTGAAATTGGAATTTAGGAGATCAGAAATACATTCTATGTGCACATCTTCATGGTTGCATCATGTATTCTGTGTAACGTTACTTTGCTGGGCCTCTGTAGGGTGCCCTTGCTCCAAGATGAAGGGGAGGAGGATGAAAACACGAAACACAAAAATATAAGGGCTGAACTCTGTACTTCAACGTGTGATACTTCAACGTGTGAAAAGTGGAGGAGCCGGCCGAGGCCTGGCCTCCAAGAGGTACAATCAAACTCTATCCGCTGCTGAACTGTAACTAACTCCAAAACTAGACTAGTGTCCTAAAGAAAATGATGAAGAGAAAGTTCTGGCGGTTGAGGGTGACAGGCCGGGCTCCGCGCATGGGTGATTAGATAGAAAGTGCAACGTGCAAAGTCTGGTGATGTGACGTATGAAGAGAAAGAATGCGGATAGGTATATCAATACCTAGATAAGGAAAGAATGCGGATAGGTATATCAATAGATAGAGACAGAATGCATAGGTATAGAGATATGGCAGGAACACAACATCCTTTTTAGTGATTATATTTTTTATATTTCAGGTACAGATTGAACGTGAACGCATTTCCGTATGTTTGCTTGATTTTTGCAGCCCAAAAGGAAGTGTGACTTGATGTAAATTCATCTATTCATAGGAAAATTCTTTACTTCTACTTGAAAGTTGCGTTGAGCGAGGTAATGAGTATTTAAATCATTCTTTACTACTGGTGGTGAAACTACAATAACTTGGATCTCCACTGATGTTTCTCAAAATTTACTATCTTCCTTTATCTATTGGATGTATTTATGCTAAATGGAACTTTATACAAGAGGAAAGATAGGGTGTGCTCGTGGAAGCTGAATAAGAAACAATTTAAAAGTGGACATAGTTCCTTTTGAGAAAATGGAAAAGCAGGACCTGACATTAAATCAAATGGAACTGAGCTCTAACTTGTGAGCCGTTGACATGTGACAAGAGCATTGTGGACAGGGCTCATGAGTGAAAGTGCCCCAAGAACAAGCGATGAGCTCGTCTAGTTGGTTGTCACCGCTGACGTCACTGGCACTTAAAATCCCCATTCATTCTTATGGCCCTCAACTAACGAGCACACCCCATCTTTCCACTTGCACATTGTTCCATTTAGTATAAATACGTCTTATTAGTTGAATATATACTGATTTAGTGGCTAGGCGTCATTCTTGCGAATGGTTCCAACCAAAACAATGGATGATAACCTCATACTTAAATTCTGTGTGAGATTAGTGTGTTAAGTAGTTGATTAAAATTGTGTCATCAACAAGTCATGAATCCATTTGGTCACAAGGAAATTAGACACACTCTCACCACAGTGCGACTACGACAAGGTTATACGTCTGTTTACGATTGAACCGCATCGAAACTGCGATGATTTAGTCATTAAAGCAGTCTATTATCAGGGATTTTTGTATAAAATTTTCAGAGGTCATTTTTAAAAATGCAATGAGAGCTCATAAAGAATTCTGTTCAATGACAGTGATAGTTGGTCCTTCAATAAAGTTGGTCAAATGTAACAGAAATGGTGCTGCATCGCAAATAGAGATTCTTAGCTTAGATGTTTCACCACCGATAGGTACACTTCCGTCTATTTTTCTTCCCTGTGTGAAGGACATTCTATGAAAAGTTGAAGCTATGATGTTGATTTGGTTTCCTTTAAAACATGTAGTGAATTTGAATCACTGCAATCAAGGTACACGCTTTTGCTGTTTCTACATGGATACGCTGCTTATCGACAACGAAACTCTCAAATCATCAATTTTTTCTGGTGTTTTAAAATCCCAGCTCCCATTTATTGTTTTTGAAAAAGAACAAATCATCATCATTCCTTGGAAGTTATTACAGGATCTTCAACACACAGAAGAGGGAAATTATGAAAGTCTTTAAGATTTGATGTTGAGTAGTTTCTCACTTAAAAATTGAGTAAGTATGACAGGAAGTCTGTACCATCGCAAACCTAGATATACATGTTGGTTGGGAGTTACATGCTTGATTATTTTATTAGGCACTGCCTTTACATCTTTGACTATCTAATGACAGTAACTATGACTAACATTTTGGATAGTAATTCCACTATCTTATCTAAAATCTGTTGGAGATTTTTCCAGATTATATAGGTACCATGATTTAGTTTCCTTCTTTTGAAAATTTTAAAATGCTGTCTAAAATTAATGTTTAGAATTGTGTTTTTTTATTCCTCCAAGTTGATGATTTTTTCCTTTTCTAATTTCAGACCTAGACCATGGAGTATGAAGGAAGCTAGCCAAAGGATGCTCCATTATAAGATTTTTAGGAAAACCTACTGGGACGATGACAACCTGTAGTCCAAAATTTTTAATCAAAATAACAGGTTCTTTTTGTAGAACATTGTCTTACATACTCAGTAGCAGAAGTACTTTGGCCCAATTATTCTCTACCAGGAAAGGAAAAAACAAAAGATCTGGTTGAGGAATGATTTTTACTCTACTATTTTTTGCTCTTAAAAATTGATCTCAATAAATTATACTTTGATATTATTAAAGCTTTGTAGAAGAAGGCCAACGCTTTCCAATGCATGTGTGAATGCTTTTACTTTACCAAAAATGTTCAAGAGTTTACACTGATAGAGATCCAGTGATTTTGTCATCAAAAATTAAAGTTAGCACATGATTGTAACTCTCATGATGAAGGGAAGCAGCCCATTAAAGGTTTTCTTCTCGTGTTTATCATATTTTAATTTTTCCTTCATCACCAGAATTTCAGTTCTATGCTGAATAGAACACCAGACAGGATATGACTGAGAGTACCACAAGATATGTTCCCTTGTCAAAATAGCACGAGGAACACAATTATTTGCTCAGAACAATGTATTAGCTTGAAATGGAAAAATGAGCATTTATAGTCTACATTAGAATCAGTCAATTTATACTTCCTGCTCATGATAAAACCAATATCAATTTAGTCATGGAAAAGAAGTAAAGATAATTCAGCTTATAAGAGAAGAGCATGATCTCCAATTATGTTCAATTTTTTTTTAAAAAAAGCATGATTTCGAGGACCTGTAAAAACTCAGAAAATACTTGATTCCATCAGGCAATGAAACATATCAGGGAAAATTAGGTAAATTCTGTGGGAATGGCCATAGCAGGAACATTCCTCTCTTTTTGCTCTAAGATCATACTATTTTTCTAAACTGGGTGTCTGCTGAACTTGACTTGAGAGGAGAAACCAGACTAAATATAGCTAAGTTGATTTTCGTCTTGTAACCCGGAGGAAAATCTTGTTTCCCCCAAGAAAAGTTAGAGATTAATGATTAGAAATCCTTGTTTTCATTAGGGAATATTTCCAAGGAAATGAGGCAGTTCGGCTGGTGAGGGATTGGCTTAAAAGCTATTGCTTTATATGTAAAA